TATTTTTTTTCTTGTTATTTAATATAATTATTTAAACTAGAATTGTTTGTTTCTTTGATTATAAATTTTTTTGTCCTTGCTTTGAAATATTTCTGATTGGTAACTTATTAATATACTGATTCATTGGCTGCTCACTGGCACATTGGGTAGCAGCAAGAAGGTTCCGGGGACAATCTGCATGGAGTTTGCATGATCTCCCTAAGTATGCCTGGGTTCTCTCCGGGTACTCTGGCTTCCTCGCACAGTCCAAAAACATGACTGTTAGGTTAATTGGCTTCTCTAAAAGTGTGTGCATGAATGTTTTTTTGTCCTTTGTCTCTGTGTTGCCCTGTGATGGACTGGCGAGGGTCCAGGGTTTACCCCACCTCTTGCCCGTAGACAACTGGAGATAGGCACCAGCACCCCTCGTGACCCCAGTTGGGATTAAGCGTGTCAGAAAATGGATGGATGGATGGTCAGCTGATATTAGTGCATTCTTATTGTATTGGTTGATATGTGCTAGCAGTGGCATACATACATACAGTAAGTGCATTCAGCAGCCATACTCTGAAATCATGTGGACTGCTTGCATTGCCATTCCCCTCCATTTATCATATATTATTATTTTGTTTGGTTTGTTAACAGATCTTACTTTTTTTTTTATACTGGTACCTGTGTACTGAACTCAAATTTTTCATGATAATGTTTTTTATTTTATTTTTTATTTTTATATATATAGCTAATGTTGGCCTTAATACTGGATGTTAGCCTTGTCAAAACCCTCTTTTCCCATGGGCATAATCCATACTGTTTTTCGTAGTGCAACCAGAAATACATCCGGATTTCCGCTGAATGCACTTTAGGGAATTGTAATGCAATAAATAATTTCCTTAAAAACAAGAGTGTTCTAACCAACATTGTATAAAATAATTTTATTAACAGAATGGGAACATTTAGATCTTTTTTTTAATATTGTTCATCCGACCTAAATACCATGCATGCTCTGAGCAGCCCAGCAAAATATGGCGCTTTTTTTAATCTGTTTTCTCTTTTTTTCTTCTTGTTCTTTAGCTTATTTACTATTCATATATTTCTATTTCAGTTATACTACTTTAGAGAATCTATGACAGACAGGCATCATTGAACCTGTAGATACTTTATAGAAGGACACATCAATAGTTTAACCAATGATTCTGTAGTCAATCTTCATTAATTGGTTTGGATAGAAATAAGTTAAGTAGCTATCAGCTTTGTATTTACCCTGTGTTAGAAAATGGATGCAGAGTCCAGTAAATCAGTCCCATTGAGGTAGCATAATGCTGATGGTTATGACAAACAGGCACAAGGGAGTGATTGAGGGATTCTGAGTTATGGACTGGTGGAAGGATGCCCAGAGCTGGAGAGTCTAACAAATTAAGAAGCAGATTTATCAAAATAAAAAGTCCACCAGACTAAAGCTTCATTACCAGCAAGAAAATCTTTTTGGTTGTGTGTTTTTTTTTTATTATTAAAGATCATGTTATTGATGATAAAGAAACCCTACTTATACATGGACTGAAATACATATCAAAGCTGTTTTGTTGCACTGACAGCATTTCATCATTTAAGTCTGTGACTTTTTGTTCAATTCAGAGTACATTATGTTAAATACTGTTTTCATTTTGCTGTGTTCATTATTTTGCCTTTGTGAAAAAAAAAACAATCATTCATTTATATTGATTGCCAGCCATGATAATATAATCAGGCGTAAAGTCTGACAAGGCTGGCTGCTCCGATAGATCAGACCTGCTGACTATAGAGCTATGCACAGGTCATAAACCCTCACCTTCCCTGTTTGACCCTCACATCCATTTGGCTCTGTTCAATATGAATGCAAATAACTCTGCATTTTTGGTGACATGTTTATGGTTATCTCTGTATCTCCCCCTTAGTCTGCCTGAATGTGCTGATGTTACTGAGCTAATGGGATCAGAAAAGAAAGCCTATTGCTCAGCTGTGGTCAGCTCACACCCTCCAAAATCTTATGCTGCAACTCCCGCAAAGCATAAACGGAGGCATCAGAGCATGCCCATGCTTGCACATATACAGTATGCATGCCTACATGTCCTCTACCCCAGTCACTTGTGTATGCATTGAGCTGATAAGTACTGCAGTTCATTTTCTCCATGGCAAAGCACAGTAAAAAAAATAAATAAATGGGGAGTAATAATTACTTGAAGGTGGGTGGGGTGAGATTCTGTGCCGGTGCAGGAAGGGAGGGACAATACGAGCTTGGCTAAATATGCTTGATTGCCTTCTGAGTTTCATTGCTGTGTAATGAAATATGGCTGCCACAGACACGGGCTCCCTTCACAGTAGCCTTTCTTGTCACTTTCTCCTTTGCTTTTTTTTTTTCTCCATTCTACTTATTGACTCTTATGTTCGGGCTTTTTCATCTTTGCCTCCCTGAGTCCATCAAAGCATTTGTTGCCACTGAATATTTATCTTGGCTATAATGTAATAATTATGGAAGTCAAATCCTGCCTAACTGAGTATTCCTTACTGCAAGCACTAAAAAAAAGATCCCTGCCTTATTATTCAGTTCTACAATTTAATTTGTGAATTTATTAGCATGAACAAAAGGGGATTCTAATAACTGTGGTAACAGGAAACTCAACAAAACCCACAAGGGCGGAGGTCTGGCTGCAGGTGCCAGGAAGCAACCATATCCTTAGTCTCTTAATTATGACCATTTGCATATTAGAAAAGTAAAGATCATGGTTAAAAAAATAAATAAAAATACTTGTTGGCAATAAGGAAACCCTCTGGCAAATACCAACTTAATCTTAGGGACCAACAACCAATATATTAATTATTAAATGTATAAAAAGCCTCTGGTAGAACAAGATAAAGAGTTATCTTTGCCAGTGAAGAAACAGCTGTGACAGGGAGTTAGTTATGGAGTAGTGTGACATAGTAACACATTTTAACATGGGATATGATTATATTAGGGAGAAATTGTGATGAACTAAAATATGTGTAGATGTTTATAATCCACAATTGTGTTAGTAACCTTCTGAAATGGGTCAGAGAATATTAGTCACATTCAATGTTAGCAATGCTTTTTTAAGAGGAAGCCTTAAGAGGAAGGATCACTTTAGAAAATGTCAGGCTGTAAAGAAAGTAACAGAAGGCTATAAAATGTAAAACTTCTGCAAACAAATGGCCTACTCATGATTATGTGTTAATTATTTCTTTTTGGTCTGCTCAATAAAATACATTTTTTTTTTAAATCTATTAAATCTAACAACAAAACACTCTTAAGGTTAAATATTTAACCTAATCAGCAAGCTTTGATGGCACATTTCATAGAAAATGCAGATAAATATGTTATAAAAAGAATCGATCTTAAGAATCATTATGTCAACACTTGAACTGATATTAAATTATTATACTGGATATAGTTTGAATATAATAGATAACTATGAAACTTACTGTTTAAAGATGCATTTTTAAGTTTTTATGGAAAACTTTACTACTAAAACAGTGTTTGATAAGCAGACTGACCCCTCAGTAATTCAGCACCAATAGATCTATGAGCCTGCAGCCTATTTTCAAATGAATGTACTTCAGGTAGGAAGTTCCCCGCTGTTCTGCAGATGTGACATCAAGCGTGTCCATGTTAAATAGGTCAAATCTAGCAAACAATGAAGTGGTAATATTCAAGATGAGTTTAGTGGATATTTAGATGTGATTGGCATCCAGTGACATCAATGGCAACTCTATGTAAGGAGAAAAATGTAAAAACAAAAAGACCTTGTGAAATATGAACCCAACCTGCGTGGACAAGCAGAAGAGTGCTGCAGTTCTGTGTTTTGGCCACAGGTGGAGGTATCATTAGAAAATTCCGTAAAGCCTCTGTAATACAAAAAATGGTATCATAAACATAAAACTAACAACTTTAACAGATTTTCTGATGGTGACTGAGACAAAAGGGGACATGATAAACTCATACTGTAGTTGAGGAAATAAAAAATTATGTTTGCTTTGCATGATAAAAATACATTCTGGGACGACTTATGTAAAAGACACCACACATGGGGGGGGGGAAATGGGAATTTATGGTCAGATGTGTCTAAAACCATACATATGGGCCTTCATACAATACAGAGCATTAATTTTTCAAATCATCCCAGACACATCATTCCCCCTGTGAAACATGTTTTGGGAATACTTTATTCAGCAGGGAAGCTTGTCAGAGTTGATTAAAGATGAATGTCTCTAAATGCAGGGCATTCCTAGAAGTGTCCCAAAATATGCAGCCACAGAAATAATGTGATTGTTTCTATCAAAGGCTGTTCATAGATTTGACTTTTTGCATTATAGACCAGATATGAAAAAATAATTAAAAATCTAAAGCAAGACAGGAATTGATCAAAAGTCACTGTACACCAACCTAATTGATCCAGAGCTCTTTTATAAAGCGTTTCTGCAAGATTTCAACATCAAACACAAGTTTGAGATTTTTATTTGCAAAAAAAAACAAAGCACTTCTAATGCAATATTTTTTGTTAATCGAAATAGGTGGTTTGCATTTGAAACATGCCCAAAGCATGTATAGAAAGTATTTTGCAATACAAACTATATAGTACTGTATATATGTCTGTAATCTCACCACTTCATGGTATTTTATAACATGTATTTATAATGAATAAAATATTTCATGTAGGAATTAAGAATCTAATTTGGCATCATGAAGCCATTATAAAATTTTGTCAAGACACTTGGCTTACCTTATACACAAATTGAACACAAAATAAATCACTTTTAAGAGTAACGAGAATCCCCTGAAGCCTCCAGGAAGTCTTTAAAAAGTAAAACTCATTCATGAATAATATTCAAAACAACTGGAAATTGTTTTAGAGTGCTAATAAAGAATGAGAATGAGAATACCTTCCTTTCTTTTCATTTTTAATCTTTTAGTTTAACAGCATTATTAGGGCTATAATCTCTCCTCTTTCTTTTTTTTTTCATTCTTGCAGTTCTCTTCCCTGAGATGTCAACCACAGGATGAAGCCTGCAGCAGGTGAGGACATGTGATGCCTGGAACCTCTGTTTTGATCTGTTTGCATAAATTTCCCACGATGCTTTTAAAGGGTGCTCACATGCTGCTTTTTATTAACGTCAGCCGAGGATTTAGGCTGATCGCGTCTGCACGTATCCATCTTTGTTATTAAGAGGAATTGCCCATCTCGAGTGCCAAGACAGCCTAGAGAATATGTCAAATGACATCCAATCAAGAGCTGAGCTGAATCTCTCTCCTGTCTCCTGACCTGAAACTGTGTGTGTGTGTGTGTGTGTGATGGGGAATGGGGGGGCAGAATATATCTGGCAACCTAAACCTTTTCTAAAGTGACTGAGGGAGTGAGAGAGACTGACTGGCACTGATGGGACCAGACTGGGACTGTGCGATGCCTGCGTGCTGCGCAAGGCCCGGGCCTCAGAAAGCTTGATTGATAGAGTGTGATGAGACCGTCACAGAGCAAGGAGAGCAGCTCAGAGATAGGCTAGATGGAGGTAGGGAAGTGGGTTGACCAGTGGAGGGAGATAGGGGGAAATAAATTTGAGAACACGTGAAGGATGAAGTGGGGGAATGAAGTGGCGGGATAGAATGTGTTTTGGACACATGAAGGATGTGGAGGGATGGAGTGGGGGAGGGGAAACTCTCAATCAGATACTGAGAGGCTGAAGGCTTCACTTGGATGTCACTCAGATCTTCAGTTCAGTTGCTGCTCTATGAGAGCATATATGTTAAAAAGTAAATCCAAACAGTGAAATAGGTAAATATAAATTTTTGGAAAAAAAGGGGAAGTAATAATATTTTGGCTTTATTTATTTATTATAGCTTAAATTAATGATACGTATAGGATAATTAACTTTACTGGTCACTGCAAATGCATAATGCTATGAAATCTGAAGTAAGGTTTAGCCAAACATCTTGGGTCAGGGGTGTTGCCTGAGGGACCAAGAGTGACAGGCTGTGGGGTTTGAACCAGGTACCTGCACCCTTCTGAGAACACTAGTGCTCTACTCTGTCCAAAAATGAAAATGTATTTAATGACTACATTGATGACTGCAGTAATTAATAAAAAAAAATTATAAAAATGTTTTAATAAATACTTATAATACAATATTTTGTTGTATTTACAGATTACAGTTAATGAAAGCCCTGGATCTAAATTAGCAGAAAACTGGATTATTTCAAAATAAATAGTTTTTAATGTAATACCCCCCCACACACGCACACCCACACACAGCCATATCAAGCCAAAAGAGGTCATTGCTTATCATGCCAGCTATTCAAACACTTCTTTATCATAGTACTTATTAAAAAGTTGTTGGGAAAGAAAAACTATGGGACATAGGCATAAGAACATGTCATATGTTAGCAAGATTAGCAAGATAATATACAGCTTAGTGGAAGAAAAATGTTAAGAAGAAAAAAGTGCACAATTAACAAAGTGGTATTCAGGGCGACACACAACAGTGTGAGCAGAGCTGTGCATGCGTGTGTGATTGTAAGCTGTTGTCCGGCAGTTGAAATTCTACTGCAGGTTTATGAAAGGATGATAACTACACTAGTAGTCTTACTCATCATTGGGACAGTTTGTCTCCTTTGCAGGTGAGTATGTATGAACTCTGGCATACAGGGAGTACATGGAGTTCCTTCTGCTACTCCAGAATTTAGAAACAGGACTTTTCAAACCTGCATCTGACTCTCTAGCAGAGATCATTTGTCATGATCCTAATTCAGGGAAATGGAGGCCAGCTTCTGTGCATTCAGGAATTTAAAAAAGGGGTGATGGGGTTGTGTCCAACAGCAACCTAAAGACAAGACCTCAGTAGGATGCCCCTGCACACCCTCATCTTTGCCAGTGTACAGTCTCCTTTGAATTGGAATCTTTACAGGCAAATATCAGGTTCCTTACAGAACACAAGATGCCTGCTTGATTTCCCTGACAGAAACTTGGCCTTTATTCTTAGGTCAAAAAAATCTGTAAAAACCGAACTTCCACCCACTAAAACAGCTGCTGAGGTGAGCTGTTTATGAGAAAACAATTAGAACAAAGCAGAATACTAACCTATATTCTTGCCCTTAAAGTATCTCACAAGTTTGTTCTGGGTCCAAGAAAGCATATTTGTTAACAACCTATTCACGCATTAACCACTGCTGTCCACAACTAATACATATAACATAATGCTTTCTGAGGAAAGCTTTTGCAAAGTATTATAGGTTAAATCTGCTCGTCTCGTGACCATCATTGTTCACTTCTAGTTCTACAAGTGCATTGTGGGACATTTTGAGTTCACTACCTTTTTATCCACTAGATATTTGGACTCGCATAAAATGGCATAACTCCTATATAGTACTCTATCATGGGATTAGGTGAAGGAAACCATACTTGAGCGTCGTTGGGTTCTGCTGTTGACAACGGAATCCACCCAGCAACTCCAGGACTGCTTCTTCTGTACAGACCGGGACTTGGCTGTTGTCATTTGCTCACAGTTGGGTGAACTGACTGAAAATGTCACTTTATATATTATTTCTGTGGGCATCTTATTGTTCCAAAGAATCTAAATGATGTGTTTCCTAACAATACGTTATGTGGGACTCAATCAGTTTAAGGTGTTTTTTAATGAGAGCAGTATTTGTGTTTAATGAAGAGGGTGTTGCAGGGAACTGCAAAAAAAAAGAAGCAAAAATGGAACTTAAACATAATTAAATAACATACAAGAGTAACACTCAAAATTTCCTGATATCTGAAAAGTCCTGCCTTGCATGATGGGTGACAAAAGCTATCATGGGATAGCATTCAAAGAGAAGCCATATTTCACATAATCATAAATCTGATTTTGGAGACTTGAACTTTTTTTATAACTGTTTTACAAAATGCAATTTCTTTCACCTTTCTGAATACAAGAACATTCTTTCCTTATGGTTGTATCTTGTAACATAAAGTAGCAACAGTTTTTAAATTCTTTAGGAGAGTCAGAAAGAGGAAAACCTTGGTCTGGATTACATTGGTGGTAAACTCCTTAAAAACTCTTCTCCAACTTCACTGGGTGCCCAGACCCTGAAAAGACTCAGCAATTGTTCCCATTCCTAAGTGTAAATTCCCAAAAGTCCTAAACAGATTTTGTCCTGCTGACATCACTTCCTTTATTATAAAATAATTAGAAATTATCATAAAATTTGAAATTGTAAAATCAACTCAAAGAAGTCATGATCCCCCACAGTTTGCTTACAGACCCAATAGGGGTGTTGATGTTGGCAATACTTACTCCATGTGGGTATGGGTCATTTGGAACGGGCAAGACAAAAAAGGTGAGGGTAAGTTGTGTCTTGTCGGATGCGCATCAATCCTCCACTGGTTCCCCTCAAGGCTGTATTATTTCACTTTATGTACAAATGACTGCCAGAGTCAATATGAGGATGCATTATAAAGTTTGAGGATGACTGGGTTACTGTGCTCTCTCACCCCTTACAGGACAATGGTTATAAGACAGACACAAGTTATTCTTGTAGATCCAAGCCACCCTCTTTTTTTAGTTACCTCAGACTGCTGCCATCTGATCGCAGATGCATGGTAATTAAATGCAACACAAAAAGTTTCAAATGTTTATTTGTCCTTTTTGGTGTAAGTCAAGCTAATAACTTCTGATGACCTCTAATTTAAACTGCATTATGTTATGTTTATGTATGTCCTGCCACACCAGGAATGTTGTGTTTTGTTATGTGGCTATTTGTCCTGATTTTGTTCTTGCTGGCTGCAAAAACAAATAACCCCACTGGGGATTATAAAGTTTACCCTTACTGTTCCCCTTAATCACAGCTTTTAGATGATTGTGAGTTGAACCTTAGTCTCTAGCAGGGGTGGTGCACCAAATTCTGGATCTTGTACAGTCAATCTCAGTGGGCCTCCAACTTTCCAGCAAAATTTTGAAATGTTCGCATTTTTGTAGAATTTCCTATTTCAAGTTATGAAGAAGCCCTTCCTTATTTGAGACCACACTATTGTTATACCTTTTTATGACAGTTGAGGTTCTATAGATCTGATCCAGTAGGGGCAGCAGCGAACATGTCAGGGGTCCCACAAGTCCAGAACAAAATAAAAGCAGCGTAGCCTTAAACAAAACCTATTGAACCTCTTCTACAGTCATCTGAACCTCATCTGAAGATATACAAATGGTCCATGTTCCATACAAACATCAGTACGTGGTGTCTGAAGTGGACTACCTTATTGTGTCTTCTTTCTTTTCTTTCCTCTTTTTCTTGTTTTGATACCCCAATGATGTTTTGAAACAAGTATCAACTCTGAAGGAAACCAGTTAAAAAACAAAACAAAAACAATTTTACTTTAGATCAGGGTTCCTCAACCCCGGTCCCCGAGGTATGTTGTCCTGCCTCTTTTAGACATGTCTTTGCTTCCACACCACAGTCAAATGGCTGAACTACCTACAGTATGAGTCAAGCTCATGACCTGATTATCTGACTCAGTTGTATTGAAGTAGAAACACGTTTAAAAGGTGCATTAAACTATTTCATGAATATATTTAAACATAATTGTTAATGTGATAAATCAGTTTTTCTTTTTTTTGTTTGTTTTGAACTTGTTCTTTTCCACAATAAAAAGTGCACAGTCACGCATCATTATCTTAAAGACATTTCTTGACTTGCTTGCTGTTTTCTGCAGTGTAATATTGGACATACAGGTTATGTTATTATATTAAATCTATGACATGTAAAATTACATGTACATTAACAGATCTTAAGGTGTTTACACACACAAAATAAATCCCTTTTAACTCCTATTTACTGTACAGTAAGATTCCCTTGTCAATATAACGAGGTTACTCTGCAGTTTATTAGTTTATCAGCACCTGCTTTGGAGACTCTATTAGATTTTGTGGGCACATGGTGTAGTGCAGGTGAGTGCAACATGGTCTGAGTTAATTCTCTGTTCTGGGAATTCCACAGTTAGTGAATTCAGACTCAATAAAGGCACCATGTTTTACTTTTATCCT